GACACCGTTGTCGGCCTCGGCGTTATGGGCTTTGATGTACGCATAGTTGGCCTCAAAAACCTGCCGGCGCTCAGCCTCCTCGACCTCACCACCGAAACCGTTACTACGGAATTGATTCTGTAAAATACGATTAAAATGTAATTTAGTCTATAATTCACGGAATATTTTGATCATAAATACATACCTTAAAAGCAATCCATTCGCTGTCCAGCTCCTGGAGGGGAATGGCGCTCACCGACACGATTAAGGCTAAGGCAATGAAGGCTTTCATGATTGACAGTCAATACCTATCGAACTTGTATTGGAACTGAATGTTTGTCCCTGCTTATATACCCAATTCATAATGGGCAGATTTAATTGTTTAGTGCATTTCACACCCAATTTTTGATCACAAGTTATATTAATTTCAGTATTACTTTAAAGAATTATAATTGATTTGTGCCTTGATAATACCATCATGTGCTTTCTCAATCATATCATACATATTACAGTGTTATTAATGTTCCCAGATTAAATACTAGTATTACATATATATATAATATATTGCAAAATGTACTTGAAAATTCTAGGCATAAATTTATTAATAAACTTATTCATTTCATTGTCATGAATAGCACGTTGCTATTAAATGGGCATTTTTATGATTAGAATTAGAGTATTATTTAAATAATGCTTTATTATAATAATTAGAAAGCATTGATTACACAATAGATGGTTTTGCAAATTAAAATTGTGCAATATATTGTACTTGTCTAGACAATAGACCTTAAATAATTATTAAAATAATAAATGCAAATTTTAATTAACTGTAAAGTTATAAATTAAGTTTAATATTGAATAACTAATTAATATTTTTATTAAATTAATACTATATATTATATGTGCATATTTTGCATTTCATTATTAATGTAAAAAGTTTCGTTTCTTACGTCAAAATAAACACAAGTTATGGTTATCACGAAAAAGTGACAGATTTTGATAATACAAAGCGGGAGACAATTTGTTGAGAATGTGGGACAAAATGTCAACGTTTTAAGAGAATTAGAGAGAGAGAGAGAGAGAGAGAGAGAGAGAGAGAGAGCTGTAAGGGTGAGTAGGGATGTCTCTTGAATGGACA